TTGAAGTTTTCTATTATATTTAACAATTTGATAATATTCTTTTTATAGTTTCACATAAGCTTAGTAAATTAAAGATGACATTTATCTAGTATTCTTGTGTATCATCATTTTGCTATATTTTTTCTCTCTGTTCTAAAAATCGTTCTAGACGTCCGATTAGCCCCCGCCTAGGGGCTAGGGGGTGGTCGGGCGCCACGGTTTTTGTCTAGGCGCTCCGACTAATTGGTTAGCCGTCTAGGTGAATTAGTCGGCCGCATATGGCGCCTAGTTGTCCACCTAGTGTGCCTAATCGGCCGCCTAGGCCGTCTAGATTCGCCGAACAGTACTTTACTTTTTAATTTTAATTTTCTAACCGTTATAGGTATTTTAACTTTAGCCATGGATCTAAAGAATTGAAGTTGTGAATTAAGATAAACCTATATATGGTTGTACATATACCCAAATTTTATCATTATTCATATTTATAACATAATAAAATTAAGTGATTAGTTATCACATATACTACGTATGATTAAATATTTAAATGTGATAATTTTATAATTCATGTTTGTTAATGTATATGTATATGTTTTTATACACAAAAAATACAATATTACTTATCATATTTATGCAAAAATATAGAAAAAATGCAATTTCTATGTCCCCGATTAGTCCCTGACTAGGCGCCCCGCCTAGCTGCCTAGGTGCTAGGCGCTGGACTGGCGCCCGACTAACGTCTAGCGCCTTTTAGAACATTGGTTAATCTTAATAGTGTTACACTATTTGTGTGTTTGGGAATATAATTTTAGTACTACATATGCAATTTCTTGTATTTATATCAACATTTTATGTGAGTTAGTTGGTATGATGATATCTACTAATTGCAAGATTTATCCAAATTTTTCAGCATGTGTTTAATTTGGTATTATACCGTACCGTTTTGTACATTCCGAAACGACATGGTACAAAATGGTTCCATCGTTCTAACCAGATTGTACCGGACGGTTAAAAATCTCACAAATACATTACATGATTTACTAATTTACATGATCATTCCGATTTCCGAACCCAGGTTGAATTGGCAATATGTGCATAATATTTCTAGAAAATTCACACGGAAAATTAAAAACATGAAATATCTTAGCAACCAATTCATCCCGAAATGTTCTATAACTAATATCTTTACCCGTGCCTTGCACGGGATAAAATCATTTTGTTTTTTAGTATTACTAACGAAAAATCATTTATTTAATCAATTGTAATAATGGTTTAAAATGCATATTCTAATTTATTGAGTATGCCTTTTTTATCTGACTATTTAAACTTATTTTCGGTCTATATTTTCCAATGAAAAATAATACTTTTTTATAACTCAGAGTTGCATCGAATTGAAGTTAATTTATTTTTTCCTAAACAAAAAGATAATACTCAATACTTATTTTTATCCATTAAATTTCATTTGTGACTTACTGTTTTTTTTTTCAAAATTAATTACACATTTTTTTTATTTATTTATCTAAAAATGAGTGTAGTCAATTATTTTTAAGATATTAGCCCTTCTAGGTTTTAGAAATTTTCAAAATCGTCTTTTGATCTCTTTTTTTAAAGAAAAGAGTTTAGAATATATACTTTTGTGGCATTCAGATTTTAATGAAGGCGATGGCGGTGACAATAGGCTACATATTGTGATCAAAAGCGATCGATTTATTTTTCATTAAATTGATTATTGAAGGTGTATATTATCTTATTAAGTAAAACAATTGTTATAGAATGAAGAAAAGTTGCATGTTTTAAACTTTTAATAGACAATTTTACTTAAAAGGTCAGATGAATAAAACCTATAAAAGGATTCTCACCACATCAAGAGGTAGGTATAATCGAAATATAAACATGTCAAATTATGCAATGAAAGATAAAAAGGCAAACGCCTCATATTCAGAAATGAAATATGCAAATATTTGATATGAAATTACTTTTTATTTTTATGTTTATATATGCAACATTGATGCTATATGAAAGATAATAAAAAAATATGGGTTTTGATATGTTTTTTTTATAAAAATCGGAGTACAAATGAAAATAGATATAACACATACAAAAAATAGATATTTTTTGAAACTGATAAACTGTTTTTTATTTTTATATATTCAATTTTGGTGTCATATGAAAGATAATAAAAAGTAATGAATTTTAAGATATATTTTGTTACATTCAGTAAAAATAAAAAAGTTATTGCACTCTAAAAGCTTTGAAAATTCCAAAATAGGACTGTCATGTTTTAATTCCCAAAATAGAACTGATTGCTGCCATGTTATGGCAGTACCAGACTTCAAACATGGCAGTATTTTTCAAAATTGTGGAGCCCATGCGTGCTGCATAAAAGCGGCGGTCGTCATCCCAGATTAAGGATGGACGAGCCAAACCGAGAGCAAGGCATGACGGTGCTGTGGAGCCCGTGCGTGCTGTATAAAATGATCAAGAGAAGAAAGTTAGCTTTAATTCCACAGCTCAAACTGAACCAGCTGAGATCACCTGTCCGGTCTGATTTGGACGGATCACTCTAACTAATTGGTTGGGGATGGCTACCACACTCAACGAGTCGTCACGACATTTGGGTGGCCCAAATGTGTATGCCACGTAATTGTGAACACGGTCGTAGAACTCCCCTATCCTTCGGACGGGGTGCTCCACGGACTCTATCAGACATGGACCCGTCGGCCCAGGACCACTGCGGGCCACCATTTGTTTTACATCACCTCCAAGTCAGTTTGTGTCCCCCGTTCGCTCGCCTTTCGAAGAACGGGTCGTTCTCCCCCTGGCTGAAATGAGACTCAATCAATTCATAGTTCCATTCGTCCGTTCTTCCCACTAGAACGGTTCGATGAACCTATGAACGAGTGAGGTTTTTGACCAATAGTTCCGATGCAACCCGTCCGGTTTTTCCGGTCCGGATCATCCATACTAATGGTCTGCCTTTCGCCTCCAAACCACAGTTTCAATGCCCCATTCGGTTTTTCTGATACGGTTCACTCATACCTATGGTTGAGGCGACAAACGAAGAGCCCTGGACTCCTTTTCCCTCATTTCTCTCTGGGTTTTCCATACCGTTATCGTTCGGTTTTTTTAAACATAAATACAGGGACTCACAATGATGATCACGTCGAGCCGAGGTGACCGAGCGTAAAGCTATAGAAGCGGTCCGACCATCCAGATAGTAGGTCTTCCTTCGTGGAGTGTGAAGATGCCTCTAAAATAGTAAACATGTCGTGCCGAGAGGCCGATCATGATATGGGGACAAACAGTGGCAACTGCGGCAGCCGGTCCACAAAATATAGTCCTGTTGTAAAGATGTCGGTACTAAGTCATAGATCTGAAAGCTCGAACAGTGATCTTCATCCGCGGGGATGAAGCTGGTCTTCAAAATATGCTGATGGCACCGTACCAGGGGGTCGGTGGCCATGTAAAGATGTCGGTGTTGGGGGCCAATCAAAAAACAAATAATCAACGGTCCTCATCCGCGAGGAGCGGAGATGAGGCCGGTCTTCCAAATGATCATCACGCCGAGCCAGGAAGATCGGTCGTGGTGAAAGGAAAGTCAGCGCTGGGAGGCCGATCTGTAAATCTGAGGGTCTTACAGGCGCCCTCTACCCATCATGCTAGACACGCCGTTCATGTGGCAAAAAATGGCGGTCCAACCGTAATCAACCATCTGTGAGGGTCTTACAGGCTCCCTCAGCCCATAATGTTGCTCTAGGTGCCGAACGGCAGAGGCCGGATTGCCAGTCATGGAGTGTAATCTGAAAGCTCGTGTATCGTACAGTCCATAGGACTTCCCTTCACGTGTTGTGATATCTATACATTTGTAGTCCCTTCTTTTCTCAATCGGCCATGATTCCTCCTACACACTTGTAGTCTCACTCTATCTTTTTTTTTTGCCGATAGTGGATGTCCTTGCGTTTCCAGATCTTCCCGTCCGGTCTGACCGACCGGCCTGAGTGTAAATATTCCTTTTTTTTCGTTCCCATTCATCAACGTCTCTGCGCTTCATGCCGAACGTCATGAACATCTCCGTGCATCATGATCTCCCCGTTCGAGCTGACCGAACGACTGTGAATGAATGTGATTATTTCCTCGTTTCCAGTCATGAACGTCTACGCGCTTCATGCCGAATCGTCATGAACATCTTTGTGCTTCATGATCTCCCCGTTCGAGAATATCGAACAAATTTCACTGCACAATCAGCATGGTAATACGGCCGTACGGCCGAACAACATATACAAGTATATATACAAGTATATACATTCACATACATATAATATTTTCCTTTGTTTCCTTATGACTATCAGCCGAAGTGGTAATAATAACCCTTGGTCTAGAATTATTTCTTGAACTGCCAGAGTCCACGACCGGAACCACCTAGTGTTTTGCCAGGTATTCAAGTACGTATTTCGCCCCGTACTGGGTACAATTGTCGACCTGGCATTTAATGCCGATCGGGACCATGAATGGTCCCTAAATTAAAACATGTCACCGGGCTACGCCCTTGCGAGACGGTTCAGTCAGCTAGTTTGAACCAACACGCCCAATCAAACCAATCATTTAAAAATGTTGGTGATTTTATCAATAAAACTTCGTTCGCCCTTATTCTGTTCAGGAACTTTAATCCCTAACACCTGTCATTAAAACTTAAAATGACGGTGAATATCTACCATTGGAGCTTTCCTCGACAATATTTAATTCGGGATATTCTTAACCCTACTAAACAAATAATCACTTAGAAATATTAATACATTATTTCATTCAATATTTTCATGCATGTCCGGCCTCATCGAGCGGGTCCATAGCTGCTCCAACCGCTAATTAAGGCTGATCAGGGTAAGCCAATAGCCCCCACTACAACCCATCATTTTATTTTAAAAAATGACGGAGTACTTAATCATCGGGGCTTTACTTGGTCAATATTTAATTCGGGATATTTTAACCCTTAATAAATAATGGTGATTGTGGATCGTTGCGCTTACCGCTATACTAAAAGCAATCGCTGATAGTGTAGCACGCTCCTCCCCATTTATAGCACATGCGAAGCGCCACGCGGTCCGATTGCACCGACAGGCTGGCTGTTGCTGGCACCGCATACCCGCGGCCCAACAGTGAGAACAAACATTCCTATTAACACTATATGGAATTAATTTGCAATTGTGGTACTTAGCTGGATGGGCTGATCTTTAGCTGTGTGGTCAAAATACTAGCTTGGTGAGAATTTGTCTGTCCCCATTACAAATAACGTAGCCTCCATAGCATGAATAGGTTCTCGCTTTGGGCTGGGGAAAATCTTCTGGACCCGAAGACGGCCCATCAACCCATCCCTTTGGAGCAGATGTGATCCATCTCATCGATTGGAAATAAAAATCCCTGATCGGCTGGTTCGTGGTGTTTCGGTACAAACTCAGTCAGATCAAACCCATGCTCATGTTTAGAACTTGGAGGGAGGCGAATCTCGATCGGCGTTATAAGTCACTTGTTCGGTGCCCGCTTTCCTCAACGTGAGGGTGGCGATTCTCGATCGGCGAAGACCCGATACTTCCCGTTCAGGGCCTGTTTTCCTCAACGTGAGGGTGGTGATTCCGTTCGGGAACTTCCCGGACTGAACCGGGATATAGCTGAAGCTTCGTCGTACGGGATGTGCAAGCCAGAGCAGATGGAAGCGAATGGTGGTCTGGGTTGAGTGGCCAGATCGATCGTTATTAATTGAGGCGGAGAACTCATGCATTTAGAAAATGACCGAAGCTTGGATCTATCCGTGTGAGTGGCCTGGTGTAGCTGTGTACCCACAGGGCAGTGGGTCCGAGCCCCGGCGGCAGACTCCATCCGGCAGATGTTTGCTAACCGGGTCGGGAAAACCGAACGGCGGCCTGGTGATTTGCCGGTCGGTGTTTTGCCCGGACGGGAATTCTTTGATTGTCAGGAAAAGTCCAATCGGCCAAGCATACTGATGGAGTTCTGATGTTCCCGGACGGGAAGTTGGCCCTGCAGCGAACTGGGTGCTGCTGGTTCTAAGCTTCCCCCGCTCGGGTTTGAGCGGTGTTCAGTTGAGTTGCAGGCTTGAATGGCTATTTGCTCATATGGTCCTTCGTTTGGTGTATGTGCAAAGCAGTGTCTTGATCGAGTTCAACCAATGTTCAACTAATAGTTGGCAGAGGATGTCCTCTAAAAAGTTCCAGCAGAGGATGCTCATATGGTCCTTCGTTTGGTGTATGCATGTAGTTTGGACTTCGGATGATGTCCTCCCTTTGCAGGATGCTCATGGGGTTCTCTAAAAACTCCCATTCGGGTACCTGTCATGTTGTTATGAGTTGATGTTTGGCTACCCCGATCGGACGCTCTACAAATTCCTATTTTGGGCTTGGTCACTTGCAGGGGACAGCGGGTTGGGGGTGCCGCTGTTAGTTTGGATGTTCGGGAGTTTCCGTTCGGGCTGCCCACGTCTTCTTTCAGATAATGATGAATCTGTCAAGTCTTCAATTATTGTGTTGTCAGACTTTCCTTGTGAAAGCAGAAACTGGGCCCCTTGACTTCAATCAGTGAGCAACGGGCTCCACTAGCCATCTTTTTTCATGACCAAGCGGTTCATTGTTGGTTCTCCATCGTTGCTGATTTCTGGGAGTAAGGATCGGCCACTTCAAGTGGTTCTTCTTTCCTGCTGCTGCTCCAGCATCATCTTGGAATACAGCATCTATTTTCGCATCTAGTCATTCGATTGTTTTGGCCTAAATAATCCGTGTATAGCTAATTGGGTAGCTGTTATCTTATGCTTTTTGATCTGTTTCCCACAGACGGCACCAATGTTGAGGTTTTGTCCTGTAGATCCGGAAGCCCAACATAAACTTCGGATATTAAGGACGATGGATTCGGTATAAAGTAAAGAATAAATATAAAGTGTATGAACTAGCTATTTTTACGTGGAAACCCGAAAAGAGAGAAAATCACGGGACTTTTTAGGCTAACGTCCAAGCCCGCCTTTTCTCATTAATATGCTCTCCTCACCATTTTACATAGTACAAGATTGGAACCTCGATTAATGGAGTTTGTGAGCTAACTATCAATGAGGAAGAAGAAAAGTAATACATGGAGAAGGAGAGCCAGAAGAGAGATCCTCAAATAGGAGGCATTCTTCTCTATTTATAGAAGGAGGAGGGGAAAACTCTCTAATCTAACGGGCCGGAAATGGGCCGAGGTAAGCCCAAGTGGGCCAGGGTGGCCAAATTGAGCCTTGCGGACCAGGCCCGGCATGGGGGCGGTGTCTTGGACCTCTGAACAGTAATAGGTCGGGGTAATATACCCCAGCACGTAATATAGTGAAGTAGAGTTCGTATCCATATGGAAAGAAATAACTTTCTTTTTAATGAAACTAGTAGTAAAGGGTTTTTTGGGATTGTTTGGAATTAATCAATTTAAACAACAAGTTGAACGACTTAAATGAGATTTAATTCAAGAATAAAAAGAACTTGGTTTTGCTACTTTCCACTTGTTGAATATTTAGTCGATAATCGTTATATCTATAACTTATTCCCTCTCGAATACTCACTCAAGGAGTGTATCCAATTCATCGAGGGTGGTTATTAACAACGACCGTTCATTAATAACCCTTACTATTAGTCAAGTATAGAACATTGCCATATACCGACTTGATAGTAGCATTTAATCTCTTAACTCCTTGATGAAATCAATTGAGATTGATAACCTCAACACAACGGTTTTGGTTTAACCAACAAAATTAATCCCTTTTAAGTTTATTAACCACGACTGTGCATTAATAAACCGAAGTTTCTTACTCGTGAAACCATCAACAATTAACCATCGTTTCGTTGATCGTTTCTAGTAGAAATTCATGTCGAGATGTTAACGAATTGTCATTTTAGCAACACTCCCCAACATTAATATATAGATAGATTAAGGGAATACTTAATATTCAAGGGACGAAGTTAAGAAAATAACTCACAACTTTAACAATCAACAAGTTTCAAGAGCAACACCGAGAAATGGAAGTTTAGCTCCTCATTTGGAGACTAAACATGCTATAAAAATATAAAAGAAATACTATTCTAAGTTGAGCTTAAGAGTATGGAAGGAGTGATTAATATGAAGGAAAATGGTGCTATTTATAGGTGTTTTGGAGGTGCTGCAGCGGATACCTGGCCGGGTATTTGAGATACCCGCCCAGGTATTTGTCAAATCATATTTTTTCGCACGTTCTTGTGTTCCTCAGCACGTCTTTTTGTCCAAAGACACTTCTTACCCGACCGGGTAAATGGAATACCCGACCGGGTAAATGGAATACCCGACCGGGTATTTGATAAAACTTCCCTGAAGCTTCGTTTTTTACCTCATACCCGACCGGGTAAATGCCATACCCGACTAGGTAAGTCACCAAATCATATTTTTTGCATGATTTCTTGCTCCCGTGCACCTTCCTTTGATCTTGTAAGATATCTTCCACGCTCCTTTGTTGTAGACTAATTTATTCAAGCTTAAGATTTTCTAAAACTAATAAATTACAATAAACTAGGAAAAATAAAGTATTACACCAATAGTGTGTAATTTCTCAAACAACAATAAATAAAACTAGTTAAAATTACAAATATAAACCATAACAATTCTATAAAAAAGGCTTAAGTCTATAAATAATCGACCTAGTAAAAGGACATGTATTGAAGGATAGAAGGGACTACCATCTACGAACAAAGTAACAGAACAACCGAGTGCAGGAATATGGACTGACGCCTGCCGATTGTGGGTGCATATTGCGGAGTGCCCGAGACCCTTAGTATCCGACCGACGACCGATGAAGAATGAACATAGACTATCCAATCGAGCTGCCGAGTGTCCTCATTCATACTTTATATCCTTCATTTGTTCAACCCTTCATAGAATCATAGGTAATTTTTCATTCCTTCTGCCTTCATCCCACTCGTAAATGCTACTACCTCCGTCCTACTAAGATTGGGACAAGAGAACGTGACACGATTATTAAGAAAAATGGGTTTGTGTGGTTAATATTAAGTTGATAAAGTAAAAATAAAGTAAGAATGATTTAGAGCCACACAAACTTTACCAAATTTGGTATGGGAGAATCTTAGTGGAATTTCCCGAAAAGGTAAAATGGGACAATCATAGCGGGACGGAGGGAATATTTAAAAATTAATAGAAAGATGCTTTTTGCTTGTTTTAACTAGGAGTGGAAAGAGAAGAAGTAACAACTCAGAGGTTGGGGATTGCTGGTGAAATTTATATAAGATCTAATTTTAAGTTAGATCTTGTACTGTAGAGTACATTTTAAGAGATTGGGGATTGCTGGTGAAGCTATAAGAGATTGGGGATTATTGTAGAGTACATTGTTTTGACACTGTTTGACACCGTTTTGACACTGTTTTGCACTGTGTTGATATAGATTTGTTCAGCAAATAAGGAAATAATAGAAGTGTGGCATTCATTGTGAAACATCCAAAAACGAAGTAATAGAAGTGTGACATTCATTGTGAAACATCCAAAAACAAGCTGAATGTATGTTTTGATATAAATTTGTTTATATCATTTTAAGAGTACATTTTAAAAACATTCATCTTGTACTGTAGAGTACATTTTAAGAGATTGGGGATTGCTGGTGAAGCTATAAGAGATTGGGGATTATTGTAGAGTACATTGTTTTGACACTGTTTGACACCGTTTTGACATTGTTTTGCACTGTGTTGATATAGATTTGTTCAGCAAATAAGGAAATAATAGAAGTGTGGCATTCATTGTGAAACATCCAAATAAGGAAATAATAGAAGTGTGGCATTCATTGTGAAACATCCAAAAACAAGCTGAATGTATGTTTTGATATAAATTTGTTTAGCAAATAAGGAAATAATAGAAGTATGGCTTTCATTGTGAAACATCCAAAAAGGAAAATGTGTCAAACAAAATGAAACAGAGGGAGTATTATTTATCATAGATGAAATATACTCCCTTCGTCCCCTTTTAAATATCCCGGAAGAGGGCGACACGGATTTTAAGAAAAGTGTGTTTGTATGGATGATATCTTACTCTATATAAAAAGTGGTGGAAAAACTGGTAATTTTCCCTCCAAAAGATACGGGTCAAATAATATGGATCATAATCGGGTCATGGATGCTGCAGCACTAGCAATTGATCAGATGTACATTGGGAGAATAATTATCTTGGAACTCGCTAATGCCAGCTTCTACAATACGCTACTTGACTTTTCAAACTTTGAAAACATGTGCTGCCGGCCTGTGGATTATCTAAGGAATATTAGTGTGTTGCGCAGTATTATGGAGTATTAAATTAGATAGCACAATAATACACAGCTCACGCCCAAGTCTCAATTCCCCTATAAATAGCCTCCGGCTAATAATCACAACCCAAAAAGCTCATGCTTTTCTTCTCCCTCAAGCTCTCAATCGCCGGAGAAATCGGCGCTGTTAGAAGATCCATTAATTTAAGGCCGGAGTTGGTAGGTGCTAAAGTTTGGGATGAAAGGGATGTGGACCTAGCAATTCAAGAACGTGAAAGATTATACCTCTCCGCTAGATGATCGGTGAAGTTGTACAAAAGAAATAAGTTGTGGGTGAGGCCAAGAGGTTGGATACTACCGATTGGGGAGAATTTTGTAGGTGTAATTAGGAACTTCAATTTTTATTTCTTGAGTTCATGGCTAGAATGAGCAGGGCCGGATCCAGGAATGTGAGATGCCCTGGGCTGAATAGGAAATATAAAAAATGAGAAGATTTGCCCAAAAAAAATTAAAAAATTTCTAAGTTACTCTGGACTTCAGCCCACCATAGCCTATACATAGATCCTCCCCTGAGAATGAGTATCTTATTATCAGTACATTGGATTTATTTCTTTTAAACTACGTATTAGTTCAAATAATCGTTCCCAAGTTCCTTCATTATCTTTTCATTCAAAAAAAAAGTTCCTTCATTATCTCATACGAGTATTACTCCGTATATCTTACTCCGTAGTTGGTTAGACTATGTGCAATCATTACTCCATCAATTAAAGAAAAAGATCAGTATTCAGTACTTCAAATGGGGTATCATCCTTTCCTATTGCAAATTTGCAACCGTGATATGTACGAAAGTACAATTCTTTTAAAATGTAATACTCCTCACATAAATTTAACCCTTAGCTTTAGTATTATACTACCTCCCTAACTTAAAAAACCTTCTCATTTCAAAAGTAGGTAGATTAAGAATAGTGAAAGAGAATATGAATTATTGAGGATATGATGGGAAGATAAGAGAATAATATGATGGAATATAGGATAAATCGAAAAAAGTAGTTGTAATAGTGTATTATTTTCAGAATTAGAGAGGGTATGATGAGAAGATTTAGAAATGAGAAGATTTTTTTGTTACGGACGAAAAAGGAAAGTGAGAAGATTTTTTTGTTACAGAGGGAGTATATTTCTTCTGTTCTTTAATAGTTACAATAGTTGACTTTCGTGTTTGTCGACGCGCAACTTTAATCGTAATTATATTTAATTACGTATTAGTAAAAGTTAGAAAAAGTTAATATTTTGAAAATTCACATCAATAGAAATTTAATAACATTTTACACCTTTTAATGAGATAGTATATTTCAAAAAAATATGAATTTTTATAATTTCAAACAGTCAAACAATTAGATGCATAAATAAATAAATTAGGAATTGGCTTTTATTTGAAAGCATTTCCACACATCTCCCTTTGAGCAAATGATAAATATTAGTAAATTCAAAAAATATTTCTATTTAATTTTGTTTCTTCACACATATTTTTTTATTGTTATGGCTTACGTGATGGATAATTATGAGAGTTCATGTGATTGAAACATAAATGCATCGATTGCATAATTCCAAAACGTTTAATGTTCTATTTTACTGTATTCAATTTGTTTTTTGTTTAGCGGTGATTTGTGTTGCTCTATAAATCTATAATAATAATTGTACATAGGGCAATTATTAGTTATTAATTTATTTATAGTGTTGAATTATCCTATTCTATGCACTAAGGAAATGACGGATTTACGGGTTTTCATGCTGTAGAGTAATGATAAAGTAGGAATAGATATGCGTAGTATTAAAAAGAGTTAAATGATGATATAGTAGAAAAGATAGTATATGAAGTAGAGTAAAATGATGATAAAGTAGGAAAGAGAAAATACTCCCTCCGTCCCAGGGAGAAGTTCCCGGGTTGACTTTCACACATATTAAGGAAATAAAGTTACTGAGGGGTAAATTTTACTGTTTGGCACTGTTTCGACACTGTTTG